TGTCTCCAGGCTGTCTCCAGACTATCTCCAGACTGTCTCCAGACTATCTCCAGACTGTCTCCAGGCTGTCTCCAGAATGTCTCCAGGCTGTCTCCAGACTGTCTCCAGGCTGTCTCCAGACTATCTCCAGACTGTCTCCAGGCTGTCTCTAGGCTGTCTCCAGGCTGTCTCTAGGCTGTCTCCAGGCTGTCTCCAGACTGTCTCCAGACTGTCTCCAGAATGTCTCCAGACTGTCTCCAGACTGTCTCCAGGCTGTCTCCAGACTGTCTCCAGAATGTCTCCAGACTGTCTCCAGACTGTCCGTCTCTCATGGTTTAGATCTTGGAGTTGGTCTCACTGAGTTCTGGGTGTTTTAGGACAGGAGTCCATCAGTCCTTGCAGCTGGACTTTGTTCAGGTTCAGGGGTCCACCACTGAGACAAACTGGACATGGTGTCAGAGCTGGACACGTGTCTCACTGTGGACAGCTCAGGTGTTCCTGAAAAGGTTCTGCTACAGGAGTTGAGTTGAGCTCAGTCCGTTTGTTTCAGAGATGATGTCATTGAGCGCCCTCTGGTTCTGGTTCTGGTTCTGAGTGGACCGGGACGTTGGAGGTGTTAATCCTGGGTTTGTGTGCAGGACCACGGAGCAGCAGCAGCGCTTCCATGAGATCTGTGGGAACCTGGTGAGGACTCAGCGCCGGGTCGTGGGCTGGGGGAGGCGTCTCTGCACCCTCAAAGAGGAGAAACCCAAAGTGGTACGTAAACTGGTCTGGACCTGGACCTGGACCAGGATCTGGGATGAGTTCTAACGGGTGGTTCTGGTCTCTGCAGTACTTTGCCTCAGTGATCAGCAGCCTGCTGACGGTGGCCTGGATCGGACAGCAGGTCCACAACCTGCTGCTCACCTACCTGATAGGTGGGTCTGCTCCTGTTCCCTCATGGCCTTCAGACGGTTCAAGTGAAATTCTTTAACGTTTATTTACAGCTGAACTCTTCCACATGATTCAACAGAAACATCAAAACTTTAAATCTGAGCTTCGATGCTCAGAAAAACAGTTCAATCAGAACTATTTCCTGTTAGGAAATGAATCAAACAACTAATGAATGGTTCAATGTTTCCTAACTGAATCGTTTTAAATACTTCCTGTTTGACTCTCTAATTGAACCGTTTCAGTACTTCCTGTTTGACTCTCTAATTGAACCGTTTCAGTACTTCCTGTTTGACTCTCTAACTGAACCGTTTCAGTACTTCCTGTTTGACTCTCTAACTGAACCGTTTCAGTACTTCCTGTTTGACTCTCTAACTGAACCGTTTCAGTACTTCCTG